GGTGCTTGCGCGGGGCAAGGCTTTGATGTGCTTGCTCGGGGCAAGGCTTTGATGTGCTTGCTTGGGGCAAGGCTTGAGGTGCTTGCGCGGGGCAAGGCTTGACGTGCTTGTGCGGGACAAGGCTTGAGACGCTTGCTTAGGGCAAGGCTTGCTGTGCTTGTGCGGGACAAGGCTTGAGACGCTTGCTCGGGGCAAGGCTAGAGATGATTGCGTTGAAATAAAAAGGTCTTTACTGAGATAGGATCTCGACTTCCACTAAACAAACTTTCCTACATCAGTACTAAATATGGGCATGCAGACCCGATAATCAAAAGCAAACGCGAGGCATGCAAGCCCGACCAGAAAAAAATTAAAAGACGTGGGGCATGTAAGCCCGACCAACTATTAAAGACTTCTAGGCAATGGTTCCTGCCGTGGGCCTGTCGTTCCCCCTTTCGTCGGGACCTTTTCCCTTGTCACAATCATTCCTTGGACGTTTATCATAACTGACATATGCACTTAGGAACCCCCTTTTAATTAACGCCTCAATCTCCCGTTGTAAGGCCTTGCAATTTTTCGTTGTATGCCCATGATCCCGATGATAGTCACAGTACTTGCTCTTATCTCGAGTATTAGGAGGGGACTGCATCCTTGCTGGCCATTTAAGCTCATTCATGTCCTTAATCTCCATCAGAATGTTAGATCTAGAGGTGTTCAATTGGGTGAACGACGTCGGTTGTGTCTCTTGTCTCTGCTTATTCTTAGGATCTTCGGTACGAGGATTTGAATCATGTTGTCTTTTGTGCTCGGGTTTATCCGAGGTCGGGTGAGAACTTCTCCTCGGGTTCATTGTTTCCTCCATATTGATGTACTTTTCTGCTCGGGTAAGTAGCTCGGTCACAGACTTCGGCGGGTTTTTTGAGAGAGACATTTTGAAGGCATCGCCCCTTATAGCATATGTGAGGGCGGATATTGCTGCTGTTATGTGAAGGTCGGGTATCTGAAGCCTTTCCTTGTTGAACTTGGTCATGAAGTCACGTAGGGATTCATTCGGTCCCTGCCTGAGCTGCATTAGGGATGCGGCCGTCTTCCTGATGCGCTTGCTACTGGCGAAGAAAGCAGAGAACTTGTCGGCCAGGTCAGAGAATGTGGCAATAAAATTGGTCTCCAGTGTTGAAAACCAATCCCTAGCAGCGTTTGTCAGCGTTTGTCAGCTTTGCACATTACGGGGTCTGGTGACAGCGTTTGTCAGTGTTTGTGGAAAAGCTTTACACATTACGGGGTCTGGTGCCACCTGGAGGTTCATGGCGTCTGTATACACGTTGAGATGGTTGGTAGGATCAGTTGTCCCATCATACTCCTTCATTCGGGGAAGCTTGAACCTGTCTGGGAGCGGATAGGAGAGCACTTCCGGCGTGAAAGGAGTGTTAGGGGTGAACCCCGTCATACCTCGGGTGCTCTTTTGAAGTCCAGCGGTAATTCCATCCTGTATGATCTTCGCTAGCTCGCCCGAATCCATGGCGACCAGTCTTGGGGCCGAGGCTATTGGTGGCAAACCCGAGGCTCCGACCCCACCAACGTCATAAGCTTCTCGAGCACCCCGAGCTCGGGCATCCGCCATGAACCCTCCTTGATCCTCTACTGTTTGTACGGGCGGCTGTTCTTGTGTCGGATGAGCATTCCTTTGGCTTAGCAAGTGGGTCAGAATCGTCACTTGCTGCCGAAGTTCTTCGAAGGCAGCCGCATCCACCACCTGTGGCTGGGCAACTGGTGCTGTAGATGATTCCTCCTGATGTTCCTGGGGCTCCTCCACCGGTGGCGGGTTTGGTGCGGATGAAGTCGTTGGACGAAGACCTGAACGTGTGTTGACCATGGCTTTTGGTAGCG